TCAGTCGTCAGTCGTCAGTCTTCAGTCGTCAGTCGTCCTCACCCCGTCTCTGGCCTGCAGCAGTTGTCTCTCAGCGTTCTGTTTCTTGATGTTGTAGTACTGGACTTCGATCTCGTGCGTCAGCTGCAGCCACTTCTGGAGACCATCAGGGGGCGTCCACGGGACCCGCGTCTCCAGCTCCTTCTCCGTTCTTCTGAGAGCCAGGCGTACCTGAGACCAAGGACAGAGAAGATTCTGAGATCTGGTCCCAGTCCACCTGGAACTGAGCTGTTCCACCAGACCAGGACGGTGGACCAGACCAGGACGGTGGACTCATGTCATGATGTCATTACTACAGTGTGATAGGCTCCGCCCCCTCACCTGTTCCAGTTCGTCCTCGGTGAATTTCTGATGTAGCTTCTCATTCTCAGTTCCTGCTCTGAGCTGTTGGAGGCGCTCTGCTTCTTCTTTGGCTGAACTGATTTCCTTTCTAAGCTCCGCCTCCACCATCACCTTCTCCACCTGAACGCAGCGCTGCTCCTCCTGAGCTCGATGAAGTCTTCGACACACAAACACACTGGTGGACAAACAGCTAACTGCTAACGGCTAACTGCTAACAGCTAACGGCTAACTGCAAATAAATGACGACGACTCAACATTAGCCACGAGTGTAAAAACAAAAGAAAAGTTGTTAGTGAGCAGAGGAGGAGCTGGTGTCAGCAGGGGGCGCTGAATAGCTGTGTGTGTGTCTGTGTGTGTAAGAGAGAGAGGGATGTGTGTCTGTGTCTGTGTGTGTAAGAGAGAGAGGGAGAGAGAGAGAGACTTCTTCTGTGTATTCTTTGCCGACATAAGGACTTTGATGGAAAGTGCACACACACAGAGACACACAGAGACACAGAGAGACACAGACACAGAGAGACAGAGTGTGTGTGTGGGCGCTCCTGTCTCCTACTGTCCCTGAAGGCAGCAGCTCCGTCGTTCTCACTCTTGATAATTTCATTGTTTTGTTTTTCTGTGATGATATTTTTAAAATTCTTCGCTGGGTAAATGTTAGATCTCACAGCCTGGCAGCAGGGGGCGCTGTACTAACTTCTCCTGCAGCTCCAGCAGACTCTGCTCGGCTCGATGGAGACACTCCAGGTCCTTCATCAGTTTGTCCACGTCGTCTTTGGACCTGCGTCTCTGCAGCAGAGCGAAGCAGCATCCGCTCAGAGCCACGAGGACGGAGACGGCGAGGAGGAGGTCCTTCCACCACCGCTGTCCAGCTGCAGGAGGACAGACAGGAGGACAGGTGTGGGAGACAGCAGAGAAGAAGACAACACTCACGTGTCCTTATTGTCCATTTTATAAATAGTCTTACTTTTAGATTTTCTGTCTAAAGTCTTTGACTGAACTTGGCGCCCTCTGCTGGGAATTTAATTTTTTAAATCTTTGTTTAGCCCAAAGAAAATCATTTTTATGATTTTAAAACTGCAATGTTACAAAAAAGGAAACTAGAAAAAAGTGACAGAACGTCATGAAAATCAATGAAAACGTCTTGACCGATAAAATTATTATTTAACAAAAAATGAAAAAGTCAAATGTTTAAAATCAGTCAAAAGTGATTCACAAACGTCATCAACTTAAAAACTAAAATATAAAAAACATTAAAGGTTCCACAACGGCTGGTCCAAACTGACCTGGGGGGTACAGACTGACGTGGGGGGGGGTACAGACTGCCCTGGGGGGGGTACAGACTGCCGTGGGGGGTACAGACTGCCCTGGGGGGGGTACAGACTAACCTGGGGGTTACAGACTGACCTGGGGGGTACAGACTGACGTGGGGGGGGGTACAGACTAACCTGGGGGGTACAGACTGCCGTGGGGGGTACAGACTGACGTGGGGGGGGGTACAGACTAACCTGGGGGGTACAGACTGACGTGGGGGGGGGTACAGACTAACCTGGGGGTTACAGACTGACCTGGGGGGTACAGACTGACGTGGGGGGGGGTACAGACTAACCTGGGGGGTACAGACTGCCGTGGGGGGTACAGACTGCCGTGGGGGGTACAGACTGACGTGGGGGGGGGTACAGACTAACCTGGGGGGTACAGACTGCCCTGGGGGGGGTACAGACTGACGTGGGGGGGGGTACAGACTGACCTGGGGGGGGCCCAAACAGGACGATGTCCAGAGCTTTGAGCTGCAGTTTCTGAGAATGACTTCTGTCCAGAATCTTCAGAACCTGGAGGCTGAGGGTGACGTTCTTCACGGCCAACCTGGTGAGAAGAACTATTTATTTATTCATGTAGTGACACAAAGTGACCACAGGAGGCAGCAGAGTGTGTGCGTGTGTGTTGGTATTGGACCTGGGTAAAGACCTTCCGTCCAGCTGGTGTCTCCTGAAGGTGTCCTTGTACTGAGGCAGCTCCACACTGACCATCAGCCACTCCTCCACCTGCTCCACGGTCCAGTTGTAGACTGACACACACACACACACACACACACACACACACACGTCAGCGGTGGGAGTCTTGTTTCTCCCAGCCGTGTCCCGGGCCGTCCCTCACCTGGCGAGCTCTTCCAGGACGTCCACATGTCCTCCACACTGACGTGCAGATCCACTCGGTGGAAGCTGCTGTGTTTGGTTCTGGGGTCGTGATCCTTCAGATCTTCCCTGAGGAACTGAACCAGAACAGAAGTGTGACTCGGAGCTGAGCTACCACAGAAGCTGCCGTTCACCTCGGTTTTTCTCTCTCTGACCTCGTCCGTCTCAGCGGCGTCCACCGTCCCGTCGGCGTCGTCGTCCATTAGCTTGTGGATGCTGCGGATGGCATCGAAGCTGAGGAGCGCGTCCCGGTCGCGGCACAGTTGCAGATCTATTCCACACAGATCTAGGACATTAGAACAGGCAGTTCATGAACTCTGGATCAGAAGTAACTGTAGCAGTGAATTCAAACAGACAGATTTAAAATTGAGAAAATAATTGAAATGAACGCAGGTCATTTTTGGACAGAAGCTGAAAAAAATATGATGAAAAATGTTCGATTTTTTAATCTTTTTTTTTACCTTTTCTGCAGTTTGAAAAAAATTTAGCAAAAAGTTTCTTTTGAAATGATGATGATGTTGGTCAGATGGTGAAAAACATTAATGACAATTTTTGACTTTTTTTAAATCACTTTTTATCTATTTTTATATCGTGAGTTTGTACATTTCTGATACAGTTTTTATTGTTATTTTCTGGTTGAACTTTTCTTCTTCTTCAGTCTGTTGTTGTTGCTGTTGAGTCTGGTTTGTTCAGGGCGTGTCATCAGTTAACCACTGGTTATCCTGTTCAGTCCAGTTATTCCACAAACAGGAAGTCTGTGGCCGCAGGCAACAACAGCCCTGGTACAGACACCAGAGCTAACGTTAGCTACGACAGACCTGAGCTAACGTTAGCAACAACAGTCCAGAGCTAACTTTAGCAACAACAGTCCAGAGCTAACGTTAGCTACGACAGGGCAGAGCTAACGTTAGCTACAACAGCCCTGGTACAGACACCAGAGCTAACGTGAGCTACGACAGTCCAGAGCTAACGTTGGCTACAACAGTCCTGGTACAGACTCCAGAGCTAACGTTAGCTACGACAGACCTGAGCTAACGTTAGCAACAACAGTCCAGAGCTAACGTTAGCTACAACAGCCCTGGTACAGACACCAGAGCTAACGTTAGCTACGACCGTCCAGAGCTAACGTTAGCTACAACAGTCCAGAGCTAACGTTAGCTACAACAGTCCAGAGCTAACGTTAGCTACGACAGTGCAGAGCTAACGTTAGCTACAACAGCCCTGGTACAGACACCAGAGCTAACGTTAGCTACGACCGTCCAGAGCTAACGTTAGCTACGACCGTCCAGAGCTAACGTTAGCTACGACAGTGCAGAGCTAACGTTAGCATTAACTGTTATTTCTATATTGTTTTTCTTTCTAATTATTCCTGAATGGTTTAGAAACGTCAGCTGATCTCTAAGCTCTTTAACAGCTGCTCTCCTGGTTCCTAACACTGCTGTAAACGTCTGGTCTTCATCCTGGGTCTGTTTTCCTCTCACACAGACAGTGAACGCCACGTGGTTTTTCTCATGTGTTTGTCAAATGAGATGTTTATGTTTCAGAGACGACCAGGTCCAAAACTGACGACCGGGTGTTCTGAGCTGGGGACAGGGACAGAGGGACAGGGACAGAGGTCCAGGGACAGAGGGACAGAGGTCCAGGGACA